GATAAGAGGGAAAGTGCAGACAGTTCTGGTAAGAACTTTTCTGGCCCTACTGAATGCTACTTTCATTCATATCCAGAGCAGGTTAATCAAATCATGCCTCCAAAAATCTTCATCTGTGGTAGCATTTTTTTAATTAACTTTATACTCATAAAATCTTGAGGGTCATGATAATTTCTTAATAATAAAGTAATATTGGGTAGCCTTTGGCTGTATTCATATACCAAGGCCTGATTTCGTTTTTCTCACATCTATTTGAGAAGAGAACTATGGTTTCGAATTTCTAAAATATTTACTGAAGAACTATAGTTTCCAAAATATTTGCAAAACATTTCCCTTCACCTTCCTTATGCTGGGAACAGAAAACAAGACTCCAGGCATGGTCTGGTCAGTGTAGGGCAGAGAGGAATGGATATGACCTCCTGGTGTGCACTTGTCTATGTGACCGCAGTCGATGCTTGCATTTGCTTTTTTTGGCAATCAAGTGACACCCAACCTTTAATCGTATCCCCTAGGTCTTTTTTATCAGGAAGTCTTAAGAAGGAAGACAAAAGGGAAACAATCGCCTTAACCAAAGCTAGGGTAGAATTACTGGCAAGTATTAACACAGTACCTCAGACTTGCAGACTTGCTTATGGGCATCTTGCGAGTCATTCCTCCATTGCGCCACAGGAAGTGGAGGGCATCATGCCGCCCACTCAAGGGAAGGCTGCACAGAGGGTCTTGAGACTCATCCACTCAGATTCACACAGGGGCTTCAAAGGGTGCTAGGGTCTTCAGTTTTTGCATAATTTCTACCTTATGCATAATGTGTCTTTTTTTGTTTGTTTTGTTTTGTTTCTTACTTTCAAGTGACTAAAAGAAATAAACATAGAATAAGGAAACAAGAATCTCTCTTAATAGGCTCAGTGACCCAAATGACTCTGCTAAGTTTACAGAGCAGCAGTTAACCAAAATTGATTGGTTCATGAAAAAAAATAAAAATCAGCATGTGACTTGTCACCCCATTTACCCCAATGATTTACTAAAGGAATCAGCAGCTCCTGTTTTGCTCTGAAATCCTGAACCTGGTAAAATCCCAAGATGCACATAAAGGAAGAGGAGACCACATTGCTTCTGATATGTTTTTCTATTAGCTCATGTGTGTTTCCTGAGGACCACACACGCCTGTGCCTTGTACCGTTGGAACCTCCATAAGCTGGAGTCTCTGCCTGGCATCTGCGACTGGTCTCTGCTCATTCATGTCCACAGTGAGGCTCCCTTTCTTACTTTTCCTTTAAAAATTCTTTGCATTTCACATTTTTATTTCAAACATTACAGGGAATTTCAGTAACTATTTATCAAATGCCTATTTTGTGTTAGTCAGTGTGTTAATAGTTTTATATACATTATCTCCTTTGATTTATACAATATCAAACTGATATCATTATCCCCATTTTAGAGATAAGGAAACTGAGGCCTAGAGTGACCTCACTGACATTTTATAAACTGGTGTATTGAGTCACATGGATTCAACCCATAATAGTCTGGTCCAAAGGACAAAGCTTTTTCACTACAACAAAACCATTTCTGCACTTATAAAGTACCTAAGTACCCTGTACCCTTAGGAAGACTCTTGTATGTTGTTCCAAAGGAAGACAAAGTCTATAAAGTGTTTTCCCTTGAGAAGGCAAGTTCAAACGAAAGAGAAAGGAAAACAAGTTAATGTGCAGAAAGAAATGTAATGCTGTAGACTCCCTGCTTATCAATGGGTACTACCCTAATTTGTATCACTGTATATCATCTTGTACTCTGAAATCCACTCCATCATCCACCCCTCCAAATACTCTACCCATTGATGTTTGAAATGTTTCAGTCATACTTGTCACTCACAAACTGAATTAAATCCAATTTTATTCTCACTGTGACTTTAAGAGAATGAATAAATATGTAAAGTATCCTTGATGCCTAGTTTGTCCATAAGCTGAACACAACCCCAACCCTCACCTGCATTTCACTGGCCTGTGCAGTGTTGGCTCCCATCATACTCTTTTTATTCTTTTTAGAATTTTAAATCCATTGTCAAGATTTAAAATTTGGGAAGTTTTACGTGACCCACTTGTTTGACATTCATGAAAAGCATTATTACTTGTTACTAATGAATGTCACTGTTTCCTTTAGCCAAAAAAAAAAAATTTCTACCAGTTTTCTTCTCTCCCTCTCTCTTTCTCTCTTTCTCTCCCTCCCCCCCATTTCTCTCCCTCTGACAATGAAGGGATATATCAGGTTCCATTTATTATCCAAACCAAAGCTGGCTTCACTTGTTTTTATTACTCATCTGGCCCCTGTAGGAATTTGAGTTTGTATTTAAAAAATGTATTTTTGGTATTGTGCCTTGCATTATCAAATTAAATATGATTTTTTTAATCTGTTACTTGGAAGAGATTTTTATTCTTCGAGTGCTACTTGTATATCTCAACGCTTTGACACAGGACATCAAATTGATGCAAACAAGATGCTATAGTGGGTAAGGGAGACGGTAGTTAGCATTGATAGACAGACTTCAGAATCTACCCTTTTCACCTTGAAAATAAAAATGGAGAGAAACAAAATCCTAGAGCAATATAGTTTCTTCAGGATTACATATGGATTTGTCTTTATTCGACTTTGACTACTTGGAATTTGCTTTGAATTCTCTGCTTGAAAAGATATTGAATTATGAAGACTCAAATTTTATTCTGTGTCTTTGTAACATTCATAGATGTTCTTTCAAACAGAAACAAAAGTCTTATTCCTGATCCTTTGAATGGCCTCTAAATACAGGTACTCAAATAACAGAAAATGGATAGGTATTTCTTTACCTTTTTGGTTACTTGACCTGAAGGGAATGTGCGTAGGCGACTATTTCATTTATTTACAACCAAGATGAATTGATATGTTTTTCTCCAAATCTCATGAGTTGGAGGCCAAATATTAACATTTAATTTTCTACAATGTTCTTTGTAGTATGAGATCTCCAATATAGAATTATAACTGGATGCATAAAAAGATGGCTTGACTTGCCTAAGACCACAGAGGTTTCAGGGACAAAGATAAGAACTAAAATGAGTGTTGCCACTACCATTTTTGAGCATTTACCATAGATCAGGCACCATGCTAAGTGACTATATGATCTCATTTAATTCTCTCAATAACTCTGTGGTATAGACTTTATCTCCATTTTAAAATTGAGGATACTGGGGAATCTCAGAAATAAAATGATTTGCCCAACCTAACACAGCTAGGAACTGGGGACTTGGGATTCCAGAATAAATGTGTGTGCTTCTGAAGCTAAGTCCTTAAAGCATCTCATCACACTACTCCTGCCATGCCTCCCCAGTTAAGAATTTGGGATATTATTTTCTGGTCTCTAAACTCAGAGCTGTACATGATATGTAAATGATAATGAAATGTAACATTGATTTTGAGTGTGTGTTGAGTGTTTTATTGATTTCTTTGTGACTACAGAGAGAGAACCAATATGAACCTGCTCCTTTGTGTTCTTGTTATAAAATTGCTGCATAATATACTTTGCCCTGAATATTGGCCAATTCCCATGCACCAGGAAGGTGATCCATCCTGTCCTTAACTAAGGCTGTGATGGGTGGGGAGTCCAGCCCACTCTGTGCAGTTTTCAGACTACCTCATATGACTCAGTTCAGCTCATCATTTCAAGTTGGTAGCATACCTGATGGATGGAACATGGAAATGAAAATGTCCCATCATATTTTCTAGCAGGACACCTGATGTTTGGATGAGTTAAATGGAGCAAGACAACAAAGCAAAGTTCACCTTGCACACTTAAAAAGGCTTTGAAAAATTGTGGTTACTATTTCAAGACTTGCTGTAATATAACATATTTTGTATTCCCCACCCCCCACCTTCTTTCAGAAATTTCAGTCTTTTATTAGTCATGAGTTTCAAATTACCATGTTGGAATGAAATGTTAGCACATAAAATACAGGCATCTTCAAAGCGTACAAATATATTTATATTTGTTAAATTTAGACATGGCTATTTTTGGCATGCTTGTTAAATTTAGACATGGGGTAGATACCATGTATGTGATCAAGGCCCTGCCTCTTGTGCCCTGCAAACTTAGACAAAACATCTGATACATATCTTAGACTCAGTTTCCTCATCTGTGAATGAAAATAATAGTACCTACTGCGCAAGCATGTTGTGTGGGAAAAATATCTTTATCCCCTAGTATATTTCTGGCTCAGAATAGTTATTCATTCAATACAGATTTCTTCTCTACACTTTTCTTCTCTCAGTTAAATGATATGTCCTTACCATGAGTCTGAAAACACAGCTTTAAAAAAGGGAAAAACAATAGCTTCACCCTATTTATTTTTATTTTTATTTTTATTTTTTTTGCCAAAGGGTGACTAGTTATCTATTTGCCTAACTAACAAAGACAGTCATTAACTCCCAAGATCTTTAAAATATAGAGCAAAATGAAAAGCAACAAACAGGAAACTCTATAAAGACTTGTTTTTACCTAGAGTTAAAAGGTGATAAGAAATATCCCAAGCTGATTAAAACCTGTAGGCAGGTGGCTGGAACAAGTACTGGGAGTGATTTCAAGTGAGATTTGTGGTGCCCATTTCAAGTTAGTTACTGAGATAGCCAATCTCTGTGGAAAGAGAGCTGATGTTTAATGTTACATCAACAAGGCATTGGGCAGGTGGGGTGCTGTCAGCTACAACAAGCAATAGCAAGCTCTGTAAATCACCTGTGTTTCCGGAAAGACAGGAAAAATGTAAATTCCACTGGTTTTTGGAAGGTGGCCAAGGGTTTTGTAATTGGCATTCCAGCTTTTTGCATATGCTTATGAGATGAAAAGCCTTCTGGTTTCCCCTCCCCGCCCTCACATCCTGCTGCTGCAACCACCCAAATCACCTTTGAAAAGGGAGTCTTGGTAAAAGAGCCCCTACGTTATCCACATTTTCTCTCTCTTTTCTTAAATTTATGTTTTGCAGGACAAATGATACTGGCTTTCTTTCCTTCAAAGACCACTTGCCTGTCACTCAGATAGTTATCACTGATACCAACAGATCAAACTCAGAAGCTGCTTGGAGAATTGGTCCCTTGCGTTGCTATGGAGACCGTGAGTACTAAATCGAAAGAAGCTTTCTCTCTTCATTATATAAGCACAAGATGTTTTTATTCCCTTATCCCTTTTCCCTGCAATGTCCCTCAGTCTTGAAAATTATTCACATGCCCAGTGCTTTTCTACATCCCATTCTAAAACAATGAACCATGCTTAAGGGTTTTTTCATTTGCAGGGTACTTCTGGAATGCGGTATCATTTTATACAGAAGCCTCTTACCTCCACTTTCCTACCTTCCATGCGGAGTTCAGTGCTGATATTTCCTTCTTTTTTAAAACCACGGCTCTATCGGGAGTTTTCCTAGAAAACCTTGGCATGAAAGACTTCATCCGACTTGAAATTAGCTGTAAGTGCCCTCATTTATGAATTTAACATAATGTCAACAGAAGTCCCAGTCTTATCTTTGCCACAAACAGCTAGTACATGTGGATACTATCAAATTAATGCCTCTGGAAATCTGTAAAATTAGCCATGATAATTTCTAGTCCCTTCTAATGCTTTTTGTTTTATTATTGCCTATCAGTATGTAATCGTTCTCTCTTCAAAATAGTGCATTCTTCAAATTCTCATAGATATCTATTATAGCGTACTTTATCTGTCCATGGGTATTGCTTACCTTTGACTTTTAAGCTTCCACACCCCAGAACTTTTTCACTTCAATTTCCATGGAAAGCTTAATGTATTATTATTATGCATTCTATTCATATTTAGGATCTACTTTTTGTTGTACTTTGCTCTGACAGCAATTCCCTGATTTATTTCCCACCATTAGGAGTGTGTGACTACAGAATTCCCATTGTTTTTCAACTACTTCACCATAAGCAGCGGTGTAGCTAAAGACTTTGACTCCAGGATATGGAGCATTGTCTAACATCCCATCTCCTATATACAAATTATATTCAGTAATGATTATGAAGTTAAATGAAGAATAATAGAAATGTAGATGGCAAAATGTCCTAATATTGAACACCTACATGCAATAATACCAATAAAAAAATTCCAGTACAAAGAAGAAAAGACATGATGGTTCCTAATTACATTAGTCCTTTTTTTTTCTAAATAAAAAGGACAAAAACATACCGTATATTGGTTTGTTCAAGTAATAGTCATATTAAAATTTCTGTTCCTTCAACTTTACTTCTGCAAATTTGTGGATGAATTCATCAAAATCAATTGTCTTCACATATGTATATTCAAAACAGAGTATAATCAGATTTGCCCATCTATCTTATATCGATCAAAGGATAGTTTTACTAATTTTAAATTTAAAATAACTTTTTTTTTTCAGATTAAGCAACAGACATGTAAATTTTAGGAAAGATTTTAAACATAAAGATGAATTTGGTAGATAGTCATAAAAATATTTTATTTTATAATAAATTCCAGAAATTGTGATTCTTTCCAATGATTTCTTCAGGATCAATTCTAGCAACTTTTAAATATCTCTGTAATCAATAAAAAAAATTCACTAAAATATTTTCATCAGAAATTTCATCACAGATTACTATTCTGTTTGGTAAAATCTTATATAATTCCTAAAGTTTTGCATTTGTGTGAGCTCTCTTTGGGTGCAATCTGTGTCACAAGCCCTGTGATAATGTGTATTCATGTGTTTCAACAGTAGGGGATTTGAGTTAAACAAGGATAGCACAGTAATTGTAAAAATGAGACATCAGAAGCTGAATTCTTTTTTTTTCATTTATTTTTTTTTATTATTCTTATGTTAATCCCCATACATTATTACATCATTAGTTTTAGATGTAGTGTTCCATGATTCATTGTTTGTGCATAACACCCAGTGCTCCATGTAGAACGTGCCCTCCTCAATACCCACCACCAGGCCAACCCATCTTCCCACCCCCCTCCCCTCTAGAACCCTCAGTTTGTTTTTCAGAGTCCATTGTCTCTCATGGTTCGTCTACCCCTCGATTTCCCCTGCTTCATTCTTCCCCTCCTGCTACCTTCAGAAGCTGAATTCTTACTCTTAAAACTAAGCCCATATATTTGAGTCTGCATGTTCAAGAGCCAAAGGTGTATCTGGAGTTGTCTGTATTAACTTCCCTCTTGAATATAATATTTATTAAGTGGTAAGTAATAAAATGTGCTTGAGGCTTGCATATACATTATTAAAAATTCATACTGATATCAGCATTTGTTAAAATTTAGACCAACAAAAGGCTTTTTTTGGTGGAGGAATGTTTTTTTCACTGATACTGTTTAGAATTGCTGGTGCGTGGCAATAATAAAAGCATCTACTTTTAGTTGCTTTTGCTGGCTTTCTGATTTTCTGCACTCACTGCCCACCCCCCTTATTTCTTATACATGAATGGACTGCTCCCACCAACTTGCCCTTGTTATGCTCATGACCATGATGACTTGGGCTTGTCATTAGATGTCTCATATATCTGTGTCTACACGGATTTTCCATAGTTTCCATAGTTTTCCATAGTTTGATGGAGGCAATTGACCCATACTGTGATAGTGATGTGACTGCATGAAATACCCTTAAAAACATAAGTAACGTCTTGGCAACAGGAGCTTGGAAATTTGAGAGCTCCAGAGAAAGAAACAAAAGTGCTAGCTGGCAGAGATGACTGAGGTGTTTGCACCAGCCCCCTGCAAATCACCAAACAGCTAAGTGTTTCTTTTGCAGTTATAGAACAACACATACAAGGAAAGAGATCTCTTTAATTGGTAGCTTTAACCTCCTTTACTCTGATGATTTAGACTATTAATAGGAGGAAGCTCTTGTGGCTTTAGTGTGAAATAAGATCTCTCCTATCTAACCTAGCCAGGCTCTGAAAATGTGGGGTTGAGTGCCAACCATTGCATAATATGGATATAATAACCTCAATGTAAATTTAATAAAAATCAGGCCCTAAGGCCTTTTGATTCATTAAAGCAGCAGCAAATGTCATGGCATATTATCACAAGGTAATGAGCAATGATTTAGTGTTAATTACATTTCAATGTCCGATTTGTTTGTACTTTCTGGTACTGTATTTTGTCCTTCGGGTTATACAAAAATGTTTTAAATGCAGATGGTATTTAATTTGATGAAAATTTAAAAGTCCATTGATATAATTGTTTGCCATACACTTTTTCACCAGGTTGAAGAACATATACTTTTTTGAAACAAGAAGATTTTATATAAAAATTTTAAAGTACAAGACTTCATATTTTTCAAAATATTGTAATTTATTATTATTATTTAAAAGAAAAAAAAAACAAATTGAAAGGAATCTTGCATTTCTTATTAACAGCTACACTCATCCTATGCCTTTTCTATAGATAAAATTTTCACCCTAAGGGGTTCATAACAAGATACTTCTACAGATCAGCTACTTATAAAGGAAATGGTCTTTAAACAGAATAGATTTCTCTTCCATCCCTAAGGAGTATTTCTCTATAACCATCTGAACAGAAGCTTCCAAAGTTGATATATCCATATTGTTCAACAGGGAACAAGAAGTCTCCATGAAATTTTCAATCCATTTCTTTCTGGGTCACTTCCAGCTAAGACGTGTGAATTATGTAGCCTTGAGATTGGTCCATATTCTATGAGAAACAAGACATTTCACAGTGTCAGGTCTTAGTGGAACTGTTTCAAATGAGACTGAGGGGGAAAAATGAGATATTTTGACAATTATCTCACAATGGCTGTGAGGATGGAAACATATTTTGAAGTGGGTGAGGAGGAGCAGAGAGGAATGGCTGTTGAGAGTCAGTGTGGTGTAGCAGAAAGAGCCTATTGCTTAGAACCCCAGGTGGATTCAAATTTCCATCCCTCTAAGTTTAATCGTGAGCATGTTCTTCACCCCCTTAGTGCTTACTTATGCAAAATGGGGTTTATGATACCCATATGCCAATCAGATGTATTTGGCTACAATTAAATAAAATTTGATTTGAACTGGTAGACACAAGGATGGGGATTCACTGGTACTGGGACATGTGACTAAGTCCAGAATTGATGAGACACTTTATTTCTGGTTGGTTTCATCAGTTTCATAATGCTATCTGGATTCAATTTATTTCTCTCCCTGCACTGACTTCTGAATACCTTCTTCAGTCTAAAGCTAGCTCTCCTTCAAGGGAGAGCTACATTTCAGCTGATGGGTGAAACTCCTGATGTGCAACATCTGAACACCTCTGACCAATGCCTCTGGCCATGGAAGTAAGGATTGCAGAGTGGTTTTGCCAGGGTCCACCTTTACACCTGGATGGGGGTGGAGTGGGGCGGGGGGGGGGGGCTAACTCTCTCTAAATTCTATAAAGGGGGAAAAGTAATGTCCCTCTTAACTTCTCAGTTCTTGGCTGAGACCCCTGTAATAAAAGACAGAGTAACAAGAGAAAAACTAAACAGAAGTTTACTAACCTTCACACATTGTGTATACATGGGAGATGCACTGAGAAAAATGAGTAACTCAAAGAGGTGGCTTAGAACTATAGCTTATTATATAGCATGTTCAACAGAGAATGATAAATTTATGGAGAAATAATAGACAAACGAAGCAGCTTTAGGTTTCCAAGAGTAGTGATAAAGGCTGGTTAGTAAAGTTTCTTATGCAGATCCCTCTGGTGCCATCTCTAGACTGTTAGGGTCTAAAGTTGTCTCCAGGGGTGCCTGGGTGGCTCAGTCAGTTAAACATCTGCCTTCAGCTCAGGTCATGATCCCCAGGTCCTTGGGGCAAGCTCCATATCTGGTTCCCTGCTCAGTGGGCAGTCTGCTTCTCCCTCTCCTTCTGCCACTTCCTCTGCTTATGCTCTCTCTCTCTCTCTTTCTCTCTTCCTTTTAAATAAATAAATAAAATCTTAAAAAAATGAAGTTGTCTCCAGGCAATTAACTTTGTCCTCCTGGTAGAGAAGGGAGGAGAGTCATCTTTGTAAATTTATGTCCTGCTTTAAACAAACAGGGGGAGAGCAGGGAGCATTCCATGCCTCTGCTTCTTCTCAATTGCTTTCAGCTCAAAATCGTCCTGATTTTAAAATAGCATATTCTGGAGTGGTGTATTTTGTGAGTTTTCAAGCCCATGGAAGAAGTGAATGAGATATACATATTTCATATATATATATATATATATACATATGTATATGTATTTGTTATATGATATACATATGTATATGGGGGAAAAAGAGAGAGACTTGAGTTGTGATGCTCAGCAGTATCATATCAAGAAAGTACCAAAAAAAAAAAATAATAATATTACCAAATAATCCTCAGAGATGATAAAATTAATACTACTAATAATTAAATTTATACATTTATATAATATAAAATGTAACACTAAAACTAAATTGTTTAGTGTCTACTCTGATTAGACACTGTATTAAATGCTTTTCATTTATTATTCATTTTTTTCAAACAATCCTATTGATGATCATCAAGATACTGCACTATGATTTTCATTGTTCAACTCCTAGTCCAATGTATAGATGAGGAAGGCAACCCTAAGGAAACTTAGTAACACACGTAGAGTTACACAGCTAGTAAGAGTCAAAATCCAGGATCAACCTACCTTTCTTCCTTAGTGCAACTCCCTATTCTGTTTTGCAAGACTGCCTCAAAACCCAAGAATGTTAGGATTCAGAAAAAAATAGAATTACTTTTCTCCGTGATTTGAAATGTAAAACATTCAGGAAGTCCTCGAAATTTTATGTAAAGTGTATGTCCTTTTTTCTAGAGTTGCCTTATCTCCAGAAATGTTTAATGATATGTCATGTAGTTCATATTTCCCTTTTTATAGATGTATGCACAGAAGATCAGAGAGGCTAAGTGACTTCTTCTTTGTCCATAAATTGTCCCTGGGATCTGTCTCATGCCCAACATGGGGTCAGGGCACAGGACATAGACACGAGGTTCTAGGAAGAGAGAGCATTATATAGGAGCCTCTACTCAGAAAGCCTCTCATCTTCTAAAAGAACTTGGTAGACATTCTCTTGAACTTATAGCACTTTCCCCCACTTAGCACGCCCCTTCTTTGTCAATCTTGAAAGTACACTGTGAGCTCATTGGGTTTCATTCATCTATGCATTCTCAGGGTCGAACACAAGACCTGGATTGGTAAAAACCTACTGAAGGGCTAAATGACTCTATACTTTTGTCTTGAACCACAAGGGAGTAAATGATGAGGGAAGATATTTGTCAGACAGGTGGGAGAAAGAAAGGCCAGGGGGTAAATTCATGTTGGAGCTAAGGGCTGACACAGGGCTCCTGGTTTTCCCTCCCAGGGCCATTCGTAATTCACCATCTCTCCAGCAAAGGAGAGCAGACTTTGTTTTGTGTCAGGTCCCCATCCTCAGAGTCACTAGGCAATGTTGGGAGTATCACTTATTTACTTATGTTATTATTATTCAGTTGTTTCCAGGTACCTCTATTATATATTCTAGCTTTGACCCCCCAGGGGCACAGCATAAGTTTGAAGGAAGAATATTTTTTTTTTTTATAGGAAGAGTGGGTTAAAAATGAGCTCCGGAGACACATCACCTGGATTTAAATCTTGATTCTCCTCCATCTGGGTTGGGGCAACTTGTTAGCTCAGTTCCCTCAGCTGCAGTATGTTACCTGTCTCATAAGAGTATAGTGATGCTTAAAATATTAAGGAGTTCATTCATGAAAAATGCTCAGCAGAGTGTCTGGTTTGTGGTAAGCACTCAATAAACATTAGCTCTGATTACTGCATTTTACTGATTGTCCCCCAGTTCTAGGAGGAATGGGCTGAACAAAGTATGTTTTTAATAGTGACCTAAATAAAATTAAATAGTAATAATTAAAAATATTTTTCAAGGAAGTCAATGCCTTGGTATAAACCAAAAAAAAAAAAAAAAAAAAATCCAAAGAAAATTACAAACTTGTATTTAGTATGTGTGGTGTAATGTTTTAATGAATGAGCCTTTGGTTGAATGAGAGCTTCCTATATACAAGCCATGGTGCTAGTGTCCAAAAAGTGAAGTGTCGGTCTAGAATTTGCAGACTAGCTGGGGAGACAGACCATAAAAAGATCATTGTACAACAGGGGGATAAATGTTGGAGCAGGGATAAGCCTGTACAGGAACCCTACCAAGGAGGGGGGTGACAGGGGGTGCTGGGTAGATGCAGCAGTAGAGCAAGAGCTCCATAAAGATGTGCTGTCCATGTAGAACGTAATATCCACAAGACCAGATTTTCAGGAAGGCTTTTAGCAAAATCTTTAACATTTTTCCTCTCCAATTCTCACCAATTTTTACCTTTGTTCTGTAGAGAGAAATAAATTGAGGTCCCAGTTATCTCACAGTTAGTGTTTATTTGATCTCAAGAAGTGCAGAGCTGCAAGGTGGCATCTGTGCCCTGAATAAGAAACAGGAAATGGCTCAAAGGGCCAACTTCATTCTTATTTAATCTTTTAATTGTTGAACCCAATTTGTTCGCCTCAGTTCTGTCTCCTTTAATGCATGGTTTTATGAGCCAAAGCCATGTGATTGAATTGGCCAGCCGTGCCACTATAGTAATAGCAATAGCTATCACTTTGAGTACGTCTTATGTGCCAGGCATGGGTCTATGAACTTCATCAGAATTAAGTCATAAACAACCTGACAGGCACTATTTTTATTCCCATTTTACAAATGAGAAAATTGAGTCATGACAAGATCAAAAACGTGGCTCCAGGGTCCACGCTTTCAAATCCCATTTGAGGGCCTCTACCTTCCTGCCTCTCTTAATTTAGGTCAGGGCTCACCTTGACCAGAATGCAAAACAATTCAAGCTCTTAGTTACTTGAAATTCCACCTACTGTGGGCTTCTTATACAAAGGCTGATTTTCTGTTTGGGTTTAAAGGCTGAGGAGGGAGTGGTCCAGGGTGCTATTTGACCTTTGGTATTACTGATAATTCAGTTGATGACTTTGTCAAATAAATACCCATGTCCTATTTTAAGTGTAAAGGAGAGGGGGCTTCCCAAGGTGCCGAGAAGGAAGGGAAGATCTGTCGTAGGAAGGCTCCAGTGACTGAAAGGGCACTGTTTTCTCATCAACATCAATTTATAATTTGCCTCTCCACATCCTTCAGATTTAAGAAAAATTCTTATGTAATAATGGAAAATACAAAAAGACATACTCAATAGAGAAAGATGGAGAAGAATTCTACTTTTGGAGTCAGATTCTTTGTCCTGTCTGAGAAACTGAGAAAATTTTACTTCTCTGAACTTTAGTTTTTTCACCCATAAAATGGGAATAAAAATGATGCCTTTCTCATAGGGTTATTTTGAGAATTAAAATGACAGACTCTATGGTCAGTATTTAATGTAGCACTCAGCAGAATTCATTGTACCTATTGTGTTCCTGCTACTTCTCTCTCTTTCTCTCTCTCCCTCAGTTGGTATGTCACCACCACCACCATCATCACTACCATCACCACCATCATCATCACCATCACCACCACCATCATCACCACCACCACCATCATCACCAACACCACCATCATCACTACCATCACCACCATCATCATCACCATCACCACCATCATCACCACCATCACCACCATCATCATCACCAACACCACCACTGCCCACACCACTACCACTGTCATCATCATCATCATTGGTATTATTACTCCTGACTGGCTGACTCCTGGAATGTGTGATATGCAGATTTTTATAGAAAGGTAGAAAGAGTCATAGAAGGGGGATGGGGGGCTTATGTTTGATCCCAGGCACCACTACTTGCAGTGATATGTCCTTGAGACAAGTACTTAAACTCTCTGAGTCTCCTTGAAATAGAGAAAAAAAAGTCATAAGAATAGCATGAATGATTATAATCACATGAATTAATGAAATAACATAGAGGAGAAGATTGGACTTTCAAGGGCATGAATCCTCTCCGTGCAGGAATGTAGCAACCTCGCTAATCTAGTATCTACAGATATCCACGAAGACACACTTGAAGCCAAAATAGACCCAGAAACCCCAGAGCCTTGCACTGATGCATGTTTATCAGATTGGCGTCTATGGCCCTGGCCCCTATCCAGTTTCCTGAATTCTCACAATGAGTATCAACTGGACCAAAAAAAGAGTTTGGGACTTAGTATCTAGTAATTTTCACAACTAATTGGTAATTTTAATATTGCAGAGATTTCAAATGAAGACCTCCTCACCTTGTATTGACTTACAGTTATTTATATCATTCTTCAGTGCACCTGTGATCTCAGTGCACTGACTGACACCTCCCCTCATCTTCCTATCCATTTCCCTTGTTGGTTTCAGCTCCATCTGAGATCACTTTTGCCATTGATGTCGGGAATGGCCCTGTAGAGCTCATAGTTCACTCTCCTTCTCTTCTGAATGACAACCAATGGCATTACGTCCGGGCTGAGAGGAACCTCAAGGAGACTTCACTCCAGGTGGACAGCCTCCCAAGGATGACCAGGGAGACTTCGGAGGAAGGCCATTTCCGATTGCAGCTGAACAGCCAGTTGTTTGTAGGTAAGGGACATTTTGAGTCCCCTCTGTACTAACACCCTACAAGACTTCTGTGTCACCAGGCTCAGGGAAAATTATGATTTTGTTTCAGACCCGAGGGATGGTTAAAATATGTCATAAAGCATTTATAACTATAGATTTCATTTTACAAATTCTTTCATTCTAGCTTCATTAGCCATAGCACTAAGAGATTATGCCACCTCTTAGAAATTCTGAGGTGGTCTCTGACTCTTTGTCTCTTTTCTCCTTGTACATATTGTCTTCAGATGTCCAAAGACTCCTATTATTTTTCATTCTTACAGTCAAAATCTACCTGTAGAAAAAGAATATACCAGCTATTTACACCTTAGTAGGTGTTGCCTCTAAGTCAGTGAGCCACGCATCACACCCTTCCTAGTGATATCTGATTCCTGATAATTATTGATAACTGTACAATAAAATACATTACAGAATTTCAAAGGGATGTGTCACCAGTCATATGGTGGGAGAAGAAACTACTGTTTTCCACAAGCTTCTCTGATGCTCCCTGAAATCACATCATTCAGGCAGCTTCCTTACATTTGCACAAAAAAAGCAGGCCTGGCCCCCAAGCTGACATCCCTTCTTTGGGAAGTTCCTCCTGAGACTCAGAATCAGCCTCTAGACAAGTTGTTCTTCTGAACTGACTGCCACCGCTTATAGTGTGGACCAGAAAGTTTCAAATGTCCCTTACTGAGTCCATTCATTCATTCCATAAATAGTCACTAAGCACTGAGAACAAGTCAGGAGCCTTGTTGGATGATGGGAATTGAAAGATAAATTGTTCAGTGACACTACCTTTCAAAGAGCTGTGTGTGCCTGTGTATGTGTGGAGGAAAGAGAGACCGAGAAACAGCAATAGAGAGGAAGAGAATTTAGCCACATGAGTCTAAGGTAGGAAAGGTCAGCCTCATAGCTAGAAATTAGAAAGGATTTTTTGAAAGTAGGTTGAGCAGGGCTTGTAAATCCTCAAAGTACAAATTATAGTTGTAAATATTAGGGCCATTGTAATATTATCAAAGCTAAGAAGCTGTTCTTATATAAAACTTGAAGTTCAGATGTTTAGAACAGTGATATAAGTAAGGTCCAAAATTTTCCAGTCAACCAGATTCAATTTTCTTTCCTTATTTATTTATTTAGCCAACTCTCACACTACAGAGGTTTACTACTAGTAATGAAATGCCATAAGTAATAAATGGAGGTTTCTTACAAGTTTTCTTTAAATGGGTTTTGTGCAACTTTTAACTCTGACAAAAGCAGTCACTAATAGCATACCAGCTAAAAGAAGAAATAAAGTAACAGAATATGTCATGTTTTGTCTTCTCAAGAGGAATCATATTTCTTTCTTCATCTGTCATGTTTTACCTATCTAGCAGAAACTATAAGTGATTAAAGCATTTTTATGATTATAAGGCACTTAATTAATAACCTACATGAGTGATATGATTTACTCTTAAAATACTTTTGAAAATTTATATTGCTGTTTTAATTCTATTTAAACATCACATTTCCTTTCTCTGAAGAAGTTTGCTAGTCGTCAAGATTTAATGTCTTTTTTGGTGAAATCAATTCAAGTAGTTTGCAATTTTCATAAATTATATTCCATGCCAAAGTTTAATTTATCTTCAGGTAGTATTTGTGAATCTTTCTGGCAGAAAGGTGTATATAAGATGGAATAATATTTTTTATCCTTTCATACGAATTTCATGCCGTTATGAAATTATCATATGGCCTGAATATGTGATAAACTTTGTGCAAGTCAGAAGGGAAATGTCATGGCTGTGTTTTATGGCAGGTTTTTATCTCCAGACGTTTCAGTTAAATTGATCACAAGTGCAGGGAGTTGTAGGAGCATGTCGATGGGTCTGGAGGACATACCCTGCTCGAGCTGGAGCCAAGGTCAGCTGCAGTGAGAGCACCTGCTTCTGTTATGTTTCCCTCCAATAAGTTCCATCTCAGATGTTACTCTGCTTTATTGAATTTGTCTTAATGTACTTGAAGAAGAAAAAAAAAACATGCTGTTGGAGGTCATTTTAGTCTGTTGGTTTGAATTCTGTTGTTTAGTGTTCAGCAATACGCCCATTTAAACATGCCAGGTGGCCAAAAATGCTGAAGTCCCAGTATTTCCATTTTGTATCATTCAGTGGTCCAAAACCAAAACCAAAACAAAACAAAAAAACACAAAAAAACAAAAACAAAAACCCTTTACTTAGCTCTAGCAGCCAAAATGAAGAATTATATTCCCTATCATTCAGAAATTCAGAGACACTAGATATTTATATTTGCTAGGCAGAAAAAGATCTGATTGGTGTGTACTTCTTCCCAGGGATAGATTGAAGGTAGCAGTATTTTTTTGGGGGGGGGTGCTTTTCTGGATCCTACTCTGTATTCTGTTTTTCTTTTTTTTTACAGTTCTTTTTTTTTAATGTTATGTTAGTCACCATACAATACATCATTAGTTTTTGATGTGGTGTTCCACAATCCATTGTTTTCGTATAAGACCCAGTGCTCCATGCAGTATGTGCCCTCCTTAATACCCATCAAGGGGCTAACAATTCCTCCTCCCCCCTCCCCTCTAAAACCCTGTTTGTTTCTCAGAGTCCATAGTTTCTCATCATTCATCTCTCCCTCCAATTCCCCCCCCCCATTTTTCCCTTCCTTCTCCTAATGTCCTCCATGCTATTCTGAAGGTAGCAGTATTTAAATATTCATTTGGATATGCCTGTCTGGATACCCTTATCCATTAAAGATCTTTCAGTCAAAACAGAGCATCATTCAACATTGTAATCACTGGTGTTGATGTGTGCTCGTGAGTGCTTCCTGAGTACCAGAAACAGGTTGAATATTATAGAACAGGATGTAACTCTGCACACTGCCACTGTCATTGAAATGTGACAAGTTGAAGTGTTCATATATGAGTCAATGCATGCTGGATTCCCAGAGTTAATATTTTTATTTTCAGACTTTTATCACCATGATAGTTAGGGACATTTGCAACCATGCCATATTACTGATCACATGTCACAGTTTTGTTTTTTTTTTTTTTTAACAGAGTAAGAGAAACTTCATAACACATAGAATCTGAAATGTATGCTGCAAGCATGTAATTGTCTCATCATTGAAACTCTTGGAGCTATTACCCCTCTGGTTTTCTGTTCCCCACAAATGTGCCAGTCAGTGTGCAGATGAGGCAAGAGGAATCCAAGAACTAGCACCCATTGCTGAAAGTGAAATGGAGAGATGTGGGTGTGTAACCCATGTCAAGAGCAAACAGGCCACAGGACATTGGTTAAAAAACACCTAGCCCCTGTATACCCATTGTCTTTATCTGCAAAATGGAAAAGAAGAGTCTGGTAACTGATCTCTCAGGATCCAAAGATCGACAACCTCCATGTTTATGTTAGGAATGACAATCATTCTTATCCCCATTCTCCCCAAATCTGAATTGCATCTTTCCAAATTTGTTGCAGTTATAGACATTTTATAAAGATGTGGGTCTGTGAGTCTCATTTTTTTACTGCTTTCTTCTTATTTTTTTTTGTCTTTCATGGGCTTGTGTTTTGTTTGTTGGTTTTCATTGTTTTTGTCTTAGCTGTTTACTTGTGTCAAAGTAAACTGAAGTTGCTCCCATTTTACAGCTCCTTGGGGAAAATACTACACTATGAAAGAGAACAATATGATTCTTGATAAATCATAAAGTTCAAAGAGATCCCTAAAGATGATGTTCCTGCTTCCATGCTGGTAGGGAAAAATTATTCCTATTTGCAGGTGAAGCATGCTAAACTTCTTGCAGTCAGTGGTGAAGCCAGTCAGGGAGAGTTCACACACAGTAACTTTGCGCTCCAGAACTGCATAAACAGGTGCTCTGTGGCAAAATACAGCCACACACATGAGCTGCCAGAGAATCTATATGTGAATAGTCACTTACATTTATCCTTGTAACTCAGGAGGATGGCTTTCCTCATGCAGGCCAGTAGAGTTTTCTCTTTGAGAGGATATAATGTGTCTCAAAGCACAGGAGGACGTATGTATCCTTTTCATATTAAAAAGTAACAGAAAAATTACCTTTTAGCACATTTGTTATATGAGCCATAGTGCATAGAAGATGTTACTTAACATTACATCAGTGGGGAAACCAAAAGTAAAGGAATCATTGTCTTTTCAACATCATGTAAATTAACCAAAAATGTTTATTTTTTCAAAGGTAAGTCATACATCAAGTATACTTGAATTATTTTTCTTAGTAAAAAAATTGAATATGCAATTTCTGATATTCCCCATTAATAGTTAAAAATAAGAAATTGTTGTGATGAGTTTAAGAAGTTGATAAGAGACCTCATAATGCCAGCAGGGCAAGTCCCAGAAATGCTGTGCTTCGTTGCTATGGGCCAAGTACCTAGACGAGCACCCAGTGTCCACTCAATAAAAAATTCTATGATGAAAAAAAAAAGCAGAAAACAAAACAAAACAAACAAACAAACAATGATGCAGAACTACCTGCTTTTATCCCATGCATTTTCTTTCCCCAACACCACTGTTCCACCAAATCACACTCTTATAACTTGAAAGTGTTTTGAAAGAACATTGGTTCTATTTTTATATTAGGAGAAGTAAATGATTAAATCACCCCCTTCTGCAAAATTTTGTCTCTTCTTTAAGATATTCAGACTTGAAGGCATTTAACCCATTCCAATAGCCCATTTTTAGTGTTTTCTGCCCCTCAATACTCCAGAAACTTTTTTGAAATGTTTATCTGCAACCCTTTCTGTTTTAAATAAAGCTCATTTCATCATATACTGGTCTGCATTGGATTGATAATGGGTAATTGAAGGAGAATGTAAAGTTTTCTTGTTTAGTTTGATTGATTGATTGATTGCCATTGATAAAACATATCACAAGTCATACTGCCTTTTTTAAAGGAGGGTGCAGTATGGCATATGGCATCATTTTCTTCAGCAAACCCAGGGAAAGAAGCCCTGAGATTT